ATGCTCAGGGGAGAAAAACAAGTCTCTGAGAGGTGAAGCAACTCCTCTAAGGCCAGACAGCCTGTGTGTGGCTGAGCAGCGTCACAAATCCAGGATGTCTGTTAAGGCTAGAGGGCAACCAGGGCAAGTCAGGGGCCCAAAGAACCCAATTCCAGGAGGTACCCTGACAGCGAACGCCTGGTGTCTTGTCCTGCCCCCCCCCCAACCTTGGGCCCTTCCCAGAGCACAGAGACTGAGGCAGTGTGTGTGGCCTGCCACCCTGCTCGCTGCACAGAGCCCCACAGGAACTCACCCCAGAAGTCTTGGGTGGCAGCACTACCGTTGAGCTGGGTGTCTCGGGAGTCAGGAACGTTTTCCCAGAGCACAGCTGCCCTAGCAGAGGGCAAAAGGGGTGCTACGCCATCCATGAGAGGCTTCTGTGCACCCCGGGACTGAGGACAGGCGGGGCTGGAAGGGCCATCCCCAAGGCCCATCTAAGGCAGAGAGGCCCCTTGGAGGCCTCAAAGCCCCTTCAACCTTAGGAAGGGACAGATCAGGAGGAGCAGCAAGCGGCTCACATGGACAGCCCCCAGGACGGCTGGCCCATCCAGCAGCCCACACTCTTGTTTTTTTTTTTTTTTTTAGTTGTAGATGGACACAATAGCTTTATTTATTTTTATGTGGTGCTGAGGATCGAGCCCAGTGCCTCACACCTGCCAGGCAAGCGCTCTGCCACTGAGCTACAGCCCCAGGCTCTCTTCTCTCAACCCCTCAGAGCCCCGTTAGCCCCCAATTGGGCGGCCCTTTACCTCCTACAAAGCATGCGAGAAACTGAAACTAGCTACAGGAGATACATTTTGAATCTGCAAAGTGAAAAATTATTTTCCAGTATAGATGATTGCATTTACTAACTAGCCAACTGTTTGGTGCCTGAATTATTATGAATTTAACTTCTCTCTAGAGGCAACACCTGTTCACAAAGGGATGGAAGAAAGTGGTGGGAGCCATGCCTGGCGGGGTGGTAAGTCTTCACAATGCTGGCTCATGGGGTAAAAGTGGTGCTAGTTCCCAGGCCAGGCATTCACCTACCCTGAGCCCAGTCCTTCCTTCATAAAAGGGGCCACAATGGTACCAACAATCTTCCATTGTTACTGTTATAAAAAATAGCCACAATTTATAAAGTTCCTACAATGGGCCAGGCACTGAATTTCTTTCTTTTTTCCTTGTACCTTTTAACACTCACACCCACTCCATAGGTTTTTGGTTTTGAAGTGGAGCTTAAATACAATAAAGTGCCCAAATCTTCAGTGCACCACTCCATGAATTTTATATACATACTCTACCATCCAACTCTATCATCCTGGACCAGTTCTGCCTTCTCATGGATTTCATATACGTGCACTCACACAGTATGTGCTCTTTTGTGATTAATTTCTCTCATTCAATTTTGGTTTTGCAATTCATTCACATCGAGGTGCATCCATCATTTGTTCTTTTATGGAGCTGTATAGTATTTCACTGTGTGACTGTGCCACAGTTTACCATTAAGCCAGGCATAATTATCATCACCATCCTCAGCCTCATCCTGTTTTGCAAATGAGGAAATGAGGCTCTAGATTGCTTACTAAGTTTGTAGCTTAAGATCCCAGAATGACATTAAGGCTGAGCAAGGACTTGAACCCAGGTCCCTCTGACTCTAAAAGCAGCTTCTCACCTCTGGAATACTAGGGCAGCAGAAATGGGTTCCTTTCTGTGTGGTCACAAACTCATCCCCACTGAGATACAGTGTGGGAGTCAGAAACAACCTGCCCTAGGTTTGGCCATTTCTGATATTTATTTGCTTTGTATCTCAAGCTGATGGGGCAGGTACAGTCGTCACTCACAGCCCTGTACCTTGAGACTACAGCTTTACCAACATTTCGAAACAACTGCAAATAGCCTAAACGAGTAGGAGGCATCCTCCTCCCCTGGCCATCGGTGGCTCTCATGGGCAGCCCCTGCCCTAGTGCTTCAGAGACAAGTTGTCCGTGACAGTAACTCAGATATAACCATTTGGAACTCTCCCAGAAAGCACTGTAGGCCCTCAGGCCAGGTTTCTCCATAGCCTCCAGTGCTGGCCTGACCTCAAGTAATAGCAAGATTTTGTCCTGCTTTCCCACTCTGAATCCTGCAGGCCTACAAGGCAGCAAAGGGGCGGCCAGGGGCCCGCCACCTCCTCACCCACCCAACTCAGGTAGCATTCCAGCCAGTCCAGCCAGACATGATCAAATGGTTGGCCGTGTGCAGGGGTGGGGGACCCCAGGGGAGGAAAGACACAGGACTAACTCTCCAAGGTGCCCTGGGGCACTCTTTGCTCTGGTGATCATTAACAGAAGCTACCCCCAGCAAGAGAAGGGGAAAGTCCAAGGGGAGGGCCTATCCACTCCTCCCAGGAACCCTCCTCTAAACACACCAATCCAGAGCCTCAGAGGACATGAGGGGTATATGCAGAGTGACCCAATCCAACTGGCTGCCTCTCCAGTCCTGCAGAATTGCCACCCAGGGCCAACAGAGATGAGAAATAGCCCTGGTGAATTTGCAGTTGCTGAGCGACAGGGACGGTGTCTTCAGTGTGCCAGCCGATGGCACTACATGGCACAGTGGGAACATACAATGATGAAGTTAGTCTGCTTGGGTTCAAGTCCTGACACTCTCTCACTGTGTTAATGAACTTCTCTGTACCCCAATTTCTCCATATGTAAAATGGGGATGCTTTAGGACTTTCCTCCATGGGGTCATTATGAACTTTTGAGTTAATGCACACAAAGACTACCAAGCATTTAAGAAATGATGTCATTACTTGAGCCTCATCGTAATCTCTGGAGCTACAGCTAGAAAAGTTCAAGGTCTGGCTATCTGTTCAAAGCACAAGTTGGTATAACAAGAGCTGGGACTTGAGCCCTGGTCCCAGGCTCCAGCACCTCTTCTTTCAAGCCATGGATCCCTTCCTCCTGTCGTGACCCTCCCTCCACTTCAGTTGCCAGGACTTCATGATCCATTTAACTTCAAAGCCCAGTTTAAGTCAGCCCCAGATTCTCTTTGGCCCTCAAAGGCCATCCTTTCCCCCAGAGTGTCACTGAGGTCTAGTAGGCACCCACCTTCCTCCTGCCAATGAGGCCTCTAGACCAGGAAGGGTAAGTCACTGACCAATGGCCAAGCTGCTTCAAAATTTCAGCCAACAGCCAGACCACGGGTTACATAACCAGCAGCCAGAGGCCTTGTCCACCCAGGGGAGACTTCACACAGGGCCCCAAACCAGAGATTCCCCGGGGTCCTGGGCAGAGGGTGGAAAGGAGGCTTTGGACCCAAGAAATTGGCCAACAAAGCAGGATATGGCCCTTCCACAACATTCCCCTTAGTGTGGGCCTCATCTTCAGCTCCCTGGCCATGATTCCTATCCTCCCCAGCTGTGGAGGAGCTCAGAGTCACAGGTCTCCTGCCAGCTCTGGGCCACACCTCCCTGGACTCCCGGGGCCTAGAGCACGGGGCTGCTGTGGAGGGGAAGTAATGGCCCTGAAAGGATTCGACTATTTCCTTTCCCTTTTAAGATCTAGATGGTAGGAAATCAGGCTCTGGGCCTGGGCACCCTGTATGTTCTTCATGAAGGCACTTAGGAAGGGTTAGGGTTAAGGCCTGCAGACAGCCAGCCTCCCCAGGGGATGGGGGAGCCTCCCCTTGCCTTTACAGCCAGCCTCGCCCCTCCAGGGCCTTCGGAGTCAGTGCCTCAATCTTTGTTATCTAACTAACTGGCCTAGACACCCCCTAAAACCCAACCAGTGTCACAAGAGGGGGAATTAGAAAGATATCTGCCACTCACTAACATGTGCCTGCAGGAAATGGGTGCAAGGTAAACTAAGATTAAATGTTTTTACTTTTAGTCAGAGAAAGATCAACCACCACCCCCCAAACACACACACACACACACCCCTCATTCTCTCCTTAGGGTGCAACAGGCCTAGGTTCACTCTGGTCCCAGGAAGGGCTACCTGTCCTCTCCCTGCACCACCAGCCCCTATCCTGGAACAGGAAGTAGTTCCTATTTCCTATCTCTCACTCCTGCTCCCCAGTAATACCTGCTGACCAAAGAGGTAAGAGTCCAGAGGATGCAGAGCTGCAGAATCTTGGGGACAGCTGGCCTGAACAATGTCGGCCACAGGCCTTTGAAAAAGGCCTAGTGGAATCAAGGGGGAAATTCGGCTTAGCCCCCCCAACCTCCTGAGTGCAAGGAACCAAAGGCAACTCAAATCAGCCGTCTCTCTGTCTCCCCAAAAGAGAAGTCCAACTCCCCTTTGCAGGTAAATCATCACTTTTTCGTGGTCATCTGGTCCTGGCTGGGGAGCTTCTAACCAAGGGAAACCCTTCACCATACCATGCTACCATGCTTTGTCTAGCATAGCAGGTGTAACTAGGGTTAAGGTGGTGGGAGCTATTGGCAACTTCCTATTGTTGGTCAATGCTAATAACTCTCTTCAATAGCCCTCCAAATCAGACACCAACCCAGGTATGTGACTGAGCCCCTCACCAGGCCTGCAATGCTTCCTCACACCCTCCCAGGGAGCTGTTGAGAGCTTAAGACTTGGTCAACTCCTGTGGGGAAAATGAACCTGAAGCATCTAAACAGAAGAACTTGCTCCAAGCCAGGCCTGCTGGTGTGTCATGGGCTCTCTCCAGCATTTTGGGTCCCCAACCACTGCCCAAAGGAGTGAAGACCACAGGTTAACCAGGGACTGCCGGATGGCCCTGAGCTGTGGCTCACTGAAGCAATATAGCAGGAAGTAGATTCCTTTGCAAAGAAAAAACCAACCAACCAACCAACTTCCACCCGCAGCCCCCTCCATCCCCACTAAAGCTCAAAGGGAGCTACAGGCTCAGCTATCAAGTGCCAGAAGAGGCCAACCACTGCCCCTCCTACCAACACAAGGTACCAGGCGAACCCTCCTGGCAAAGTCAAACCACAAACCAAGGAAAGACCAGCCTCACGATCAGTTTCTTGAAAAACGGGGTTTATTGATTTTAAACTGCAAATAGTCGTTACAAAAAGTTTTTTTTTCTTTTAAATAAATTCACACAAAGAAAGAGAAATAGAAAGCGACGGTAGTGACCAGCAAGAGGAATAATAATTACATTCATCTTAATGTGTGTGTGCGCCAGTTCTGTTTACACTAACATTGGAAAACTCCAAACCTGGAATCCAGAACCTCAAATCTGCGAGCGGAATGTCTTGAGATGGGCACGTGGAAGTCAAAGGGTTTCTCTCTTTTTTTTTTTTCCCTTTTAGAAGCTATACATAAAGTCGTTTTCCTTCTATACTGTCACAGAACTTTTACATACATTCTCAGTCCTACCTGTGAAAGGCCTAAAGAGAAAGAAACTCAATTTGCAGTCCAACACAAAGGGGGGAATTTCTAAAATAAATAATCCAACAGTTTTTTGCATTTTTTTAAATTAATTTTTCATTTTTTTAAAATAAAATAACCAAAAAAAAGTGTAAAGTTACAAAAAAATGTTGTTGAAGAATAATATATTAAAACTGTGGAAAAAAAAGGAAAAAGACACGTCACAAAATTTTAAGATTAATATGAAGATCATAATTTAACATAAAAGAATATATTCTATGGATTTGTCATCCCGATAAATATGAACAAAATTAACAAAAAAAAAGCATAGTTTGGCAATAAATACGTTTTGATAAGTTAAATAAGCTTTTTTATATTGATGTGCAGTGACAAGCAAAATTTTTGCTCTCCAATTTCTGAAAGTTATATGAAGTTTAAAACCCAGGGAAAAAAGCATGGCGTGAGTGCTCTAAGGGTCAACCTACGGTATTCTAGAGCAAAAACCATTAAAGCTACTTCTACAGGAAATCGTTTTACACAGATATTGTATGTGGAATGAATACCATTAACTGCTCACCCCTTACATGTTTTTTTTTAAGCTTTTCTCTTTTTTTTTTTTTGTTGTTGTCATTTTTTTTAAAAGATGTCACATATGAACTGGGGAACTTTAGCACCAAAATCAAGTCTCTCATAGTCCATCTAGCTTCCCCTTCCTCCCCACTTTAAAAAAAAGAAAAAAAAAAAGATTAAATCACAAAAGTCCCACTTATATCAAAATCTTCATCCGCTTTTTCAGCCTTCCTTCCTGCAGACCTACACAAACCCAGGCAAGATTAGTCAACAGGGGTTCGGGTTGGGATGAAAAAAAAAAAAAGATTTTCAATGTCCAGACAAGTTTCCCCAAAAACCCAAGTCCAGCAACAATTCTCCTAAGGGAGGGGGCAACTCTCTACCGGAAGAGGAGGAAGTGTGTGGGAGACTGAAGGAAGGGAAGGTGCAGTTGTGTCGCCAGTGGGGGGAGCTGCTGGTTCTGGGTCTCCCCCCTCCCCCTCCCATGGGCAGAGGCTCAGGGAGGCCCACGGGTGCCCCCTGGCGCTGAAGAGGTAATGTAGTCACAGTGACAAAGTTAGATAACAAGGCACTAAGTTGCTTCTGTAAACTGTTACTGCTTTTTCTTTTGTGATTTGGCACTTAAGGCTTAAGCCGGAAAAAAAAAAAGGCATCTACTGACAAATATGGGACTTGTCTGTTATGCGTGGTGAGTGGGCGATAAAATTGAGGGAGGGGTTTCAAGCCAGAGGAAGCTACTGACAAATTGACTTGTCCTTATGTTAGGAGGGTAAAAAGAGGGAGGGGGGAGCATTCCAAGGTTCTGGGGGAAGGGGTTGAGCTTAACCTTGTTAATGTAGGGGTTGTGGGGAATGGGGTGGGTAGGGAGGTGAGGGTATTGGGGTGTAGGTGTGGGGAGAGGGGAGTGGAGGCTGAGGGGTCCCTCCCTACCCTGGTTTAGTCATCTGAGATGGAAAGTCTGCTGAAAATGGGCAGGCGTCTTGAGTTGTCCAAGGTGGGGGAGTCTGAGCCACTGTGGCTGCTGCTGGAGCTGCTCAGGTAGCCCTCCTGGTCCGAGAGAGAATCCTGAGGGCTGGGGGGAGAGTCAAACATGTGAGGGGACTCAGACATGGGCCGGAAGAGGAAGGTGGTGGGGGAGCCACCCCCAGGTAGCCCCATACTAGGGGCAAAGAGGCTTGCCAGCTCCTGGCTGGAAAAGGCAAAGGGGTTATTGGTGCCATCGGGCAGGGTAGGTGAGCCCAGGAGGTCATCGGCGCTCAGGATGGGGGGTGGGGTGATGGACGTGGGGCTATCCAGCAGCCCCGTGGCAGCGGCGGTGGCAGCGGCACTGGGAAACCCAGCAAAGCTAAAGCTATGCTGGAGGCGGGGACGGTCAGCGGAGAGGTCCCGGGCCCCGGCCAGGGCGCGGCGCTCCTCAGCGTTGTGGATGAAGTGGCAGCGGGGCCCATAGGGGCAAAAGCCGATGGTATGGAAGGTGCGGCACAGCTCCGTCTTGTACTTGGGATGGCGGGTCAGGCTGCGGAGCTCGTGGATGCCGTGGGCGAACTGGCACTTGTCCCCGTACTTACAGGCACCGTTCTCCTCAAAGGGGCGGCACAGCTCCGTCTTGTAGCGGCTGGAGTTGACCTGGCCACTCCCGGGCTGCTTCTGGGTGGGCAGCAGCCGTTCACCCCCTTCGGAGAAAGAGCGATCTCGGAAGCGGCTGTCCCGAGAGCTCAGAGCCGGAGCTGGCTCACCCTTGAGGCTGCTGAGGAGCTGGTTCTGGTGGAACTTGGAGCTGGGCAGGGTGACAGAGTGCCTCCGAGGGAAGCCTCCACCAGCAGGGGTACCCACTGCCTTCCTGTCCAGCAGGCAGCCACCTGCACTGGGAGTACTGTAGTTGAGCATCTTGTTACCCTGGAGGGAAGAGAGAGAAGAGAAAAGATGGTTAGTGAGGGAGGACGGTCACAAGGCCAGAGAAGGGCACCCTTCTAAGGTGCTAAGAACCCCCTCCATGATCAGAAATGTCCAGTTGCTCTAAAGAACCACCTCCACCTTTGCTCCTGAACCCCCTTCCTTCCCTTTCTCCCACACACCAGCCACCTGGGTTTATTCTGGCCCCATGCATAAGAAATCACAAAATCCTGGCCTGGGTGACAATTATTTTATGTGTGAACCTTCATATCCTGTATCACCAATGCTATCATTTTTATCTATGAAATCCAACTTCTTTGCCTCCCAAATAGATTCCTCAACCCAGAATATCTCACAAGGCTAACTCTCTAGATCCCCCCCCCACACACACACACACAAACACACACAACACAACAGGGCAAATCCCAGAGAGAAGAGTACACCTGAGCCAAGCCTCTCAATCAGCCCCTGCTCAATTGATAGCCCCTTCCTCCACAACCCGGCCCAAGACTCAGCTTCCTTCTTCAGGAGTGTTCCCTTCCTCTGGCAACAGGTTTTTAGATTGCCTGTACTTTTTTTTGCTGGGGGGAGGGCCTGGTCTGAGGTTGTTAGAGAGAGATGCGATGCCTGAACTCACAGCTCCTGGAAGGGGTACCCTGGACAGTCTTATCTCCCACCTTTCCGCACCCCCTTCACTGGGAAGATGCCTTTGCACTTGGTCTCCAGGCTGAAAAAAGAGAGGCTTGGGTAGGAGTGCCAGTGTTTAATCTAGAACTGCAAAGCTGCAGATGGGAAGGAAAGGAAAGTGAAAATTCCACCCCCCCCCCCCCTGGTAGTTGGAAGACTGGGGGGCGGGGGGAGTAGGGGGCACCACAGGCAGGGTTCTGTTCCAACGGGCCTTGGTCACCTGCCCAAACTGTACCTAAGATTTGGAAAGGGTGCCAGTGGGGAACCTGAGGGATGGTTCCCCACCCATGTGGGTGTCATTGTGCAAATTCTAAAGTTGGTCCCTAAGAATCAGCAGCAGGGGATCGGGAATCTGTAACCACAACCACCCCACCGAGCGGATTACAGGAACCCAGTGGAGAGCTGGTTCTCAACAATGAGGTTCATTTAAAAAATCCTGTGGGAGGAGGGGGTGAAAAAAAGAGAAATAGATCAAAGAACTGGAGAGCAAGGAAAAGAAGAGCCCTGAGCTCAGGCAGCCGCCCTGGCTAGTGGTGTTTTAGAGAAGGCAGGGAAGGAAGGAAGCTGAAAATTCCAAGTTCTGATGTTGTTCTTCAGCTAAATCAGCGTCCCTGCACCCCAACCCTGCAGCCCTGGGGCCTTGGCAGCTGCGCCTACAGAAGCAGCAAGCTGGGAAAAGAGAGCAACATGACCCGACCTGTTTAAGAGAAGGCAAAACACTTCACCAATTAAAAAGTAGCCTAGCAGCTTCACCCTTTCAAATACGGGGTAGAGGGCTGGGGAAAAAATTTTAACAGCATCCATAGGCTTTTGTTATGTACACACTCCTGGAGCATTCCGACTTTAAAACTTGTTTTCAGCTGACAAGCTACCCGGCTGAAAAAGGCCCCGAAATCCTTATTGGAGGGGTATTCTTAGAGCTCAAGCAGCATTTTGTCACGCATCCCCCGGCCCACCAGGAGCGGTGCCTGGCAACACAGGTAAGCAGGTCAACCCACTTTCATTCCCAAAATTTGCACCGTGATCTGTTATCGCGGGAGGAAGCCCAGCTGAGCTGAGGTGGTCACAAGTCCTACTGCAAACTTGCTTTGCTACATCTTCATGAATTAACTCTTGGCCTTTTTCTTCCTTGCAGATCTCCAGCTTCCCCAAAGCAGAGAGAGAAATCTCCCACATCATCTCGAGACTCACTTCCCCGAGGGACCCCACCCTCAAGGGCCGGCAAAGAAGCTGAACAGTATCGAACCCCTGCCGGCGGTACAGAGACCCAGAGCGCGCACAGAGGAACCAACTAGTCCAGCAAACCTCAACTCAAGCAGCACACTATGTCGCCCAAAACTTGTCCTAATCCCGGCCAGTCCCCCAAAGAGCCCCGCCTCACAAACTTCGCCCCCCCAAAAACTCCCCAGATTCACATGTAACCGCACCGGGAACTGTTGAAACTCAAAAGAGTGAAGAGGACACGGTCAAATTCCTTCAAAGTGGGGAAATGCGGGCGGAGAGAAGAGCCATCTCCCTTCATTACCCTCTACCCCCTGCTTCCCAAGAACCGAACTTTCAGGAGTTCTTCTTTTAAGCAAAAGAAAAAGACTCAAAATCTCCGCTCCACTTTACCTTGCATAAAACTTCGCTCAAGTCGAAGATGGTGGCAGACACGAGGGTGGTGGTCATCGTGGGAGCTCGCACGGGGCAGGGGCGCGAGGATCTGGTGTGTCGTGAAGGTCCCGGTGCAGGGAAGGCGCAGCCTCCGGCTCTCCGGTCTGGAGTCCCACACGCCTGCTCCCGGCGCCCCTCGCCTTTCTGACTCTCCCGGGCTGCGGCGCGCAAAGCCCAATTTATAAAGTTTCAGATTTGGTGGGCTGGGGGGAGGAGGAGCTTTAAACTTATTTAAATGAGGAAGAGGAGGAAAAAAAGTTGATTGACACTGAGGTTGAATCAGCCATGCGGTCAAGCGGGGGGGGGGGGGGGGGGGGGCGGGGAGGGGAGGAAAGAAACTAACAAAAGGAAGGGGGGGGGGGGGAGACGAAGAAAGGAGGAAAAAAAAAAAAAAAAACCCACTCCGAGCCGCGCA